TTCCAGACAGCCAGCGATGACGAACACGATTGTCTCGGATACCAGTGTGCACGGAGATGGAATCCCAATCTACTGGCAGAGTTCAGATGCGGAGGTTTTGTCGAGAGCCGCTGCCATGACACCGACTTCTGATCCGGGTTCGGTAGCATCACCATCGAACGCGTCGGCATATTCTTCGAGTGCCCCTACTTCCTCTGGTATTGCGCAAACGGGCAGCTCCCCGTCGGCAGGTCTATCAACAGGTGCAAAGGCCGGAATAGGCGCCGGAGTGCCTATAGCTGTAATTGCTCTTCTGATGATGGGTTTCTTCTTTTGGAAAAGACGACGAGATCGGAGAGGGGATAGTGAAGGCATGAAAGTACAAACAGGGGAAATGGGCACAGAAAAACAGGTGCACATGGCTCCAAACCATGGACAGCATCAACGATATGAGATGCAAGGGGAGGCGATCACACATGAGCTCCCAGTGGGGCAAGGCGATTCAAGAACGCTTGTACATGAGCTCCCAGTTACACAACAGAAATAGTCATCTGTTAGCTATTGTCAGTGCCTAGGCGAGAAGATGTTAGATAACGTAATTTTAGCTTTCTAGTTCTAAAGTGCACATGCCTTGCTTAGGATTGGTCAGTAGCACAACCTGTTCGCGGGCTGGTCAGCGAAGCCAAGACCAGCCAGCAAGTAGATAGAAATGTGTACAGATACACTGATCAGGCCATTCTTTGCATCATTCCCTCGTGACGTATCTGACATAGTGATGCTGAATCAACAACTCCATCAGGCAAGCGCAGATGATGAATTGCATCGCCATGAGACCTGATATCCCTGTCGCGTAATGCTTCCTTCTCCAACCGTAGGTAGCAGGAACCAGGGGCAACCTTCTTCCAGGACTCAACAACATCATCACTGAACTCAAGATTCCATGTACCACGCCATGTAAGTGTAGCCCTTGCACTTGCAGTGTGCTTCTGGTAAATTACCGCACAGGCTTGTCCCGATTCACTGTTCCAGAGCACCATGGTTTTGAGCTTCGGCATCTTCAGCGCAATCGAACTGGCGTTTTGCAACAGTGTGTAAATATTTTGAGGAGGAACCGTCCGGGCCAGTGTGGATGATGTGAGTGTCAGCGACTGCAGGATATTCCAGGTACATGGTAGCTGCTGGCATGAGGTGAAAAAATGCTGCGCATCGATCATGTATGAAATAGAAAGGTGCTCCAGATGGCGACTTTTGGCAGCAAACGCTTTGGCTAGCGCGAGATCTACAGCTGAGGTAGTTTCGATATCTCGGCCTAAATGTGGCGTAGCGTTATTCAGTGCCAGTGCAAGTTGATTGTTGAAGTCCTTGAAGATAGATATACTTTTGACATGTTTTGGAACACTGCGCTGGAATAAGAAGGCTAGTTCTATCAACATGTCAGAGGGAAATTGCACACGTGTTTGATATAGGTTCGGGAGGAGGGGTTCTCCCACATAAGGGTATGAAATAAGGTCAAACGTACCATATGCACATGCAATCTGGCAGTAGTGTCGCCGGGCACGCCACAGCTCGTAGACTATACTTTCTAGGCGAGGGAGTTTATCCCACAAGGCCTTTAGTACTTGGGGAAACAGCTCATGTCGAAGTTGTCGACGTATGCAGAAGCTTGTAACGGCATGAACGACAGGGAGATTTTGGGGGACGTTCAAGCAGAGCGGAGAGAAGAGGCGCATGAAAGCGGGCAGATCGGGAGTCTTAACCTGCTGACCATAAACCCAGCCGTGCTTTGGGTCGTGCCAATTGATGGCTTTCTCCTGTTGGGTCCAGTCTCTTGTGTCTTCATGTCCAGATCCAAAACAGTAGTTCTTGAACCAATGTTGTGAGTCACTTGGTGAAGATGCACTCAGCTCCAGTGTCAACCGACCTGTAGGCTGCCAGGTACTCAGGATAGAAAAGAGCCTTAGGATAGCCCTCCTGAAAATAGTAGGCCTACGACTGGACATGGTGTCACTTCGTTCACAAGAGCGACAGGTGTATCCAGGAAGGTCGATATTGAGACAGATGTGCTGGACAAGAGGCCTTTGTCGGATAACGAGGGTTTCCAGATTGTCTAAACAGGATGGCTCCAATGCTAGCTGGGAAAAATTCTTGGGTTCAAGAATGGCCTGCCATTCTTTGCAGACGGCTGCACACTGAGCCCAGCCACGATGTTTCTGGCCTGATATTTCGTCAAGCACCAAAAGACAGATATCTGCAGGCAACGAGAGCCAGGGAAAGGCGATGTGATCGTGTCTCTTAGTCATTGTGAGAGAGAAGCTTCTTTGGCAGTACCTGTGGCTGTGAGAAAGGAAAGTATTCTGGGAAAGTACACCCTTTTGTACGTGATATGCCGTAGAACGCCCGAGCAAACCGCAAGAGAGGAACTGAGACAGCACAGCCGCTCGGCTGCTGCTGTGAAGAAGTTTGACGCGAGAGTACAGATTGACATCCGCTGTAGCAAATGGCAGTAGGAACATAGCTACGAAACTGGCTTAAATTTGCGTGTCGTTGATGCCTCACTAACACGGTTCGCACATCGCATAAATCCATGGATTGTGTGAAGGTTAGCGGGTGGTTGGGATCTGGGCTTTAGCCAATCCTGGCCTAGAATCCGAGCAGATTCCGCGCGCTCAGAGCGAGCTAATGCTGCACTGCGCTAAAAGCAACCTTTTTAAACACTACTAATACTAAAGATTACTATATCTTTTATAGAAGCACTCTTCTTATATAACGTTTAAGAGCTTAATCTAGAAGATCTATTCTCCTTAGTGCGTAACTTAGTTAAGGTTCTTAGCTTACTAACTCTAAGGTTATTGCAGATAGAATCTATTACTTATTTATAACGAGATAAAGGACTTATAAGTTCAGCGTTTTAACTAAGATTAAACAACGTATTAACATTAGCGTTGCCTAACGCGAGGATATTAGGACAAACACTTAGGCAGGTTCTATATTCCTGCACTCCGCTCATAGACTTTACTTACTATGCGTTTTAGAATACCGAAAACCTCTTAGTAACTTAAGACTTTAACTTGCTGATAAAAATCTTATTACCTTTCCACAAGAACGTTAACACTTCAAAGCTAAGATCTATTTTCCTCTGAGGACTTCCTCTCTAAGAACTTGCCAATACGTTCCCTCTCGCAATTCACATATCTGGAACGCTTCTCAATAGGCATATTCGCAATTATTAACGACGGGAGATATATACAAGAAATACTCCCGAAAAGGCTGATTGAATTGGAGCTTATTAACAGATGCTCGACACTAGCAGGAGCTTATAGCTGAGATATTCATAATGTGATTAGGGTGTTTGCGGAAGCTAAACTTAAACTTCTGCCAAATCTAACAAAAATGTCGCTTGCGCTGGAAAACGAAGATTGGTACAACTCAGACCTTAATGCTCGGAAAACGGTGTTGAATTCTGCATTCAAATGGAGTACATTTGGTAATTGAAATCTGTAATAACTCTAGTTCCAGGTCTTTGGTATTGCTTGAGCTGTGTCCGTCAATAACTTCTAGAGACTTTCGATGGAGGATGTGCTCTTGCTTTTAGGGTTTTCTATCATCCTATTTTCTCCCTCTGCTAACTTCGATGGTAGCTAGGCTGTACAAACTTCAAATAGCTTAGGAGAAGCATGTGGAGCGGGAGAGACAAAGATAGCTCAGCGGGCACGTAAAAAAGCAGACCGTGACTCTAGAAAAGCTATCCAAACAGCCTAAAACAGTAAGCGCATGGCGTCAAGAAGCTCTAGTCAAAATCCCAAGCGCCAGAAACGTAGTGTTGCTACTACAGGAGTGAAGGAGCTATCAGGGGCTGCATCAGCGCCGCCGTCAGCAACTACCCGCCGTGGCCGCAACGTCAACCTTCCAGATAGATACAAGTAGCTCATGTTAATCGCAAGCATCTAACTACTTTACCTTTACAAAAACTCGTAATAATAACTATTGTTGATGACTCTACAGCATCATTTTGATAAAATTTTTGTGTTATTAGGTTGCGCATTTGATAATCATGCGCATCTGACGCACGGACACGGTGCTGTAGTTGCATTGACAGAGAGCTACGTGGCTTTCTGTATATACCTAAGAGTTCAGGACGGAAAACAATATTGCGATCCTCTGATCCGCAATCGGGCCGGGAAGAAGAGAAACTGAGGTTATCAACGAGGATCAGAAGGGGAAGGGCGTTCCGACCTCCGAGGCTTACAGCCGAGTCTTATCCGGACTGAGCCTGGCCCATCACATTAGGAACAGCACGAATCGCGCCGTCACGATAAGTTCTACTGTCAGATATTCACTCTTATATGGAATACTGATGAAAATAGGCAATTGTCAGATTTTCACTCTCATCTGAAACACTGATAACAAGGATAATAATATTGATGGGTACTGATGATTGATTATGTGTTCTTCTGTCTACGGTTCTGGGCACACCGAGGGCGTGCTAAGCTTTCCTGTGCTCTGATTGGTTCTTGCAGATGCCGGGTCGTACTAGCGCACCCGGATTCTGTGCAAGTTGATATCAACTTGTCTGTCAACTTTTCCAGCAACACTGCTGTTATCTGACAGCAATAAGATGATGGGTAGTGATAATTAATTATCCACGGTTTGTGAGATCACCTAGGGGGTGCCAAGCCTTCATATGGCGTAGTTGTTTCTCATAGATGCCGGGTCGCACTAGCGCACCCGGATTCTGTGTGCGCATCGCCTCTGCGTCACCCACGCATTGCATCCGGTCCGACTCCGGATCATCCGGATCTTGGGGCAAGGCAGCGAAGTCATCAGGTGTACCTAATCAAGCTGATCCTGTAGATAACTTAGTAGTTTTCTGCAATCCTTTCGTACAAGACCTATAGGTGTCAATTGATCTTAGGTCACAGTTCTCCCACGCACTCCCATATGCCTCTAAGTAAGACCACGCCGAGTTCGGATCTCTTGTCTTGCCTGCGTCGTTACACTGTGCAAGTTGGCATCAACTTTCTATCAACTTCCCAGCAACAGTGCTATTATCTAATGTCAGCCAGCACGGCTGGGTATCCATGCGTCAGCCCAATGCTCTCATCAGATCTTCTACCACTTTCGCATACCTTTACTCCCCTACCATCTACGTCATATACTTACATATATCTCACATATATAAATACACATCTCTACTCTATAGAATGATCAACCAGTTCCTCCTCTCTATCCTCCGCCCACATCTAACATCAACATTAGAGGTACTAATGCAACGTAACTGGAGGCAGATCATCTCCGTACGATACGTGGCGTAAGCCGGCTAAGCCGGCTAAGCCATACGCTATTTTCTTCCCTTGTTACTCCTAGACTATCTTGTGCCCATAGCGGTTCCCTAGGGAGTTCATTCGGGCCTGCCTGTTTAAGCGGTGTGGTTATTTCCTTGCCATGGCAAATTTTTAAAGACGCTAGAGTTCTTGTTAATCTTAGCAAGACTGTGGAGTATTTAAAGGTCTGTAACCCCATCCTGTGATATCTGTCCACCATCCTTCTGTTATTTACAACTGTTAGGTTCAGCATCCACACGCCATACTATTTATTTAACCTAAACCTTATCAATCTTGCTTCTTAAAGTGTCCCCTACAATGCGATTTAGTTACGCGGGATTTCTAGCTGCCGCCTTAGCTATAAGCTCGGCATCAGGACAGTGCACACGCAGTTCAGGACAATACGGTGTATGAGATTTTAATAATCGTCTACTAAATGCTACATAACTAACTTATTACTAGGCATGCAGTAGCGATGGTACCAAAATTGTAAGTTGAACATGGATCATTATATAATATTAAACTAAGTATCTTATCCTTTTAGCTGTATTGCACTGGGTACCATGGGAGATTGATCAATCAATGTCCCCAGGGGAGACTTTGTGCTCCAAGGAGCGGGGGTTATGATTGTGCGCAGTTTTGAGGGATCGATTAAGAGTGTGGAGAAAGATTGGATTTGACAAAATACAAGCTATCGAGCTATTGTGCCGGTGCACGGGGTAAAGCCCTGTGCGTGATTGAGTCTGTGCTCAACCCAGATCTCGGAGGCTATAAAAGGGTTCTCAACACCACTCAGCAGACGTGCCATTAGTCTAGCTATACTATCATTTCATTGGGATCAGAGTACTTTTAATTCGCCGTCACGAACCTTCACTTCAGTTGAATCTTATCAAGTAGCTCCTCGATCGTTCTTAAAACCTTAAGACCTTCTAACTGTTAAGATCGCCCAGGAATCTAAGCCCTATCTGTCTAAAACAAAAACTTATATCGCAGGCAGCTAAATTTCAGATTATACGCTGCAATTTCTGCTAGAACTGTAAATCAGAAATCGTTTTCCTAAAAGAGGTATAGATCGAAAATTAGTACACAGTGGTATTGACCTGCGCGACGTCCTTATTACCAACCCTCATTATATTGAGGCATTGCGTGGGTGAGTAGTTATACTGTCCCTCTGCCTTTTGATCCAAGACTGATATCTCCGCCGGTAGATGGCGCTGGATCTTCATAATCGAGAGAGTCGTGACGATAGTTGCGGGACTAAATGCACCATTCTTTCTGGTTGAATGTAAGCTGAGATCGCTATGCTCTGGCCCCACGATCTGACAGTTCCAGTTCCGGAGAAGGTTAAGTTTTTGACCGAGCGTCAGAAGCACATTGCTGTCACACGCGTGACTATGGAAAAGAAGGGGCTCATAGAGAACATGCCACCGTCGGCGAAATGATGAGGATGCTTATGGACTGGAAACTTGGTGTATAGTCAGTACTACCTTTATTGACTTGAACTTTCAAGACTTACAGACGTTAGCTGCGTACAATACTTCGTCGCGGCCTCTAGCGTCTACTCTCTGGCTTTCTTCCAACCCATAATTCTGAGGAACGGTATGGGCTTCTCGTATGCGAAGGCACAGTTGCTATCTTCCCCGCCCTACGTCTTCACCGTCTTCGCATCTCTTGCAGGAGCTTGGTTATCTGACAAGATTCGGATGTGCTGGCCGATCTTGATAGGTCAGTCTGTTGTTGCTATTGCCGGATTGCTGATTGTTCTGTACGGTGGTCCGCCTGGCGTGCGATACTTTGGCTTGTTCCTTGCGACATGGGGTACGCAAGCCAATGTCCCTGCCTCGTTTGCATATGGCCAGAATCAGACAGCAAGGGTGCAGAAATGGGCCGTTGTCGCAGCCGCAATGATATCCATCGGAGCAGCTGGTGGCGTGACAGGAAGCACAATATTCCAGACCAAAGATGCGCCAGTGAGTTTCCTTTCCTGTGATTTAATCTCATGCCAAGTGTTAATACAGAGCAGCAATATCTCCCAGGTATGTGGGCGACCGTTGCGATGCAGTGCGTGTACTCGATTGTGACATTCTGCATGTCGATGTACCTAAAGCGCCTGAATAAAATGGCAGACCGGGGGAGTAGACCAGCATTGGAAGGCGTGGAAGGATTCCGCTACGCCCCTTGATCCGGATGGCTTGGACTGCGGCGCGTTGTTGTATTTCCATACTGGTCATGCTGCAGGTGTCAGATGTGGAGCAAAGCTTTTGTCGAATGAGCGCAACTCGGAACACAGAGCGGAAGATGAAGAGAGGATCAATGTGCTATATTTCCATACAGTTTTCTACTCTCCCCACTGGTCCGTGTGCGTGTGGAGAATGTGCATCTGACCGATTCATAGGTGTTGCGACTGACGAAAGGAAGGCTTCATGGCGTCGTGCTCGATGCGAGCATGGAACAACCAAATTGGGCAACCCGTGTAAGAAGAAGCACCGGAAGATTATCACTCTGACATGTACAGTCCCTTCGAACCGGATTCTTGGCAGGCATCGTGGCTGATTAAAGCTTGGGGGTTGGAGTCGTGGAGAAGCGCGCACCTCTCAGGAGCGACTCCAACCCCGCAACTCGCTTGGGCATCCCCGCATTAGGAAAGACCCCGTGATTTAAGTCCATACGGCATCCCGAGGGCCGCGCTGTTGGGGAGCGCAAATACTATTGTATTGATAGGAGCCTATAAAAGCACACTCCAGCCTTTTCAAACTACCGACGAGCTATTGTAAGCATTGTCAAGCACTCGATCTTACGTCGTAGCACAGCACCACGCACACGCTAGCCCCAGAACGAGATCATGGGTGTTGGAGACGCATCAATCGCATCTAGCGAAGTGAGCCTTCTTCCCAAAGTACATGATGAGTACTGACTTCATGTTCCAGCGTCCCGAATATGGTTCCGTTAACATACAAATTGCGGACTACCCACAATCATCAAAGAATAACTCTGTTGATGCCAACAAAGTAGCAGACGACATTGTCACAAAGCTAAACGAAGCAATCTCCAAGAAGAATAATAGTGCCGCCGCGAAGCTCTTCCTTGCAGAGAAGGGTTACTGGCGAGATCACCTTGCACTGACATGGGATTTTCGAACGTCCAAGGGTAGCCAGAACATCAAGACACTGCTTGACGAAGCCAAAGTTCAACTGCAAAAGATTGAAGTCGACCGCAGTTCAGCCTTCCGTGCTCCAAAATTTGGACCAATTGATGGGTGGGGTGACGTCAACGGTATTCAATTCTTCGTAAACTTTGAAACCGAGGTGGGCCGTGGGGAGGGAGTCGTCAATCTCGCCGAAGAGGATGGGCAATGGAAAGTGTTCACTATATATACTTCATTGCAGGAGCTCAAGGGTCATGAAGAACCAGTAAAACATCGGCGAACAAAGGGCGTAAAGCATGGTGGCGATCCTGCAAGAAAGAACTGGAAAGAGCGACGAGAGTCGGAGAAGGAGAACATAAATCCCAGGGTGCTCATCATTGGCGCAGGACAAGGTGGCTTGACAGTTGCCGCGCGATTGAAAATGTTGAACGTCCCCGCGCTTATGATCGACTCGAACGAGCGCGTCGGCGACAACTGGCGCAAGCGATACCACCAACTTGTACTACATGATCCAGTGTGGTATGACCACATGCCATATATTCCGTTCCCACCACATTGGCCGATTTTCACGCCGAAGGACAAGCTTGCCGAATTCTTCGAAGCTTATGTCAATCTTCTTGAACTCAACGCCTGGACATCAACGGACCTAAAATCAGCTTCATGGGATGAAGGCAAGAAGCAATGGACTGTAGAAGTCGAGCGTCGAAAGGCAGATGGGAGCGTGGAGAAGCGCACTCTACACCCACGACACGTTATTCAGGCTACTGGCCACTCGGGAAAGAAGAACATGCCAGATATTAAGGGTATGGACAGCTTCAAAGGTACTCGCTTGTGCCACAGCTCCGAGCACCCCGGCGCAAACCCGATCTCCAAGGGCAAGAAGGCGATCGTCGTCGGCTGCTGCAACTCTGGCCATGACATCGCGCAAGACTTTTACGAAAAAGGCTATGACATTACGATTGTTCAACGAAGCACAACGTGCGTTGTTTCATCTGAAGCAATTTGTGAGATCGGTCTCAAAGGCTTGTATGAGGAAGATGCGCCGCCTGTCGAAGATGCAGACCTCTTCTTGTGGAGTATACCCAGTGAGCTCTTTAAAGTCCAGCAGATCAAAATCACCAAGAAGCAGGCTGAGCACGACAAGAAGCTCCTCGATGGACTCAAGGCTGTTGGTTTCGGAGTCGATAGTGGGCCAATGGGATCTGGGCTTTTGATTAAGTACTTCCAGCGCGGCGGCGGATACTACATCGATGTCGGCGCATCGCAACTCATCATTGACGGCAAGATCAAAGTGAAGCAGGGCCAAGAGCTCAAGCAAATCCTTCCGAACGGCATTGAATTTGCTGATGGGTCAAAGCTCGAAGCGGATGAGATTGTCTTTGCAACAGGGTACCAGAACATGAGAACACAAGCCCGACTTATCTTTGGCGATGAAGTCGCAGATCGTGTGAGCGATGTATGGGGCTTCAACCAGGAGGGAGAATTCAGAACGATGTGGCAGAAGAGCGGGCACCCTGGTTTGTGGTTCATGGGAGGGAATCTGGCGATAAGCAGATACTACAGTCGGAAGCTTGCACTGCAGATCAAGGGTATCGAGGAAGGCATAAAGGGCACTTGAAGCGGTATGAAGTCGAGTGTCTGGCGAACGGTCTTCTGCACCGCGAGTCACGCCCCCAGCAATAAATGTGTAAGTGAACAGGGGTACCCCACTTCCCGTGGGGCGACGTGCACGACAACGTGCGGGAGTTTGTTTGTTCTCCAAAACAATTCTATAGACTTCGAGAAGCATTCCTCTTTCAGACACTTCCCTTTCTTTGATCTTTATCGCTTTCTCTACTTGCATCATGGCACAGCCTCAGCGCATCCTAGTAGTCGGTGGCGCATCTGGCATCGGCGCCGCCCTCATCATCTCGATAATACGCACATCCACAGCGCAGGTCTTCTGTTTCGACAAAGACATCGACTATTCTTCTTCTGGACCTCTCGGAACACTGCTCTCATTTCCAAATCGCATGTACGGCCACGAAGGTGACGTGACGATACCAGATGAACGCGAACACGCCATAGCCACATGCATACGACCAGATGTCCTAGGCGGTATCGACACAGTCGTATATTGCGCAGGTATTCTCACGCCAATTCAACGAATCGAGAACCTCGACATGGAAAGCGTGGAAATGACTTACTCAGTCAACGTATTCGGTGCAATGGCCATGGTAACCAACAACTTCTCACTCCTTCACCATATCATGATATCTCACACGTGATTAGGCACAACTAGCTCTCCCACACCTAAGAGCCGCGCGAATCGCTCGCCCGCTCAACGCTGGCTTTGGCAAAATGATCTTCCTCACATCTGCGTGCGACCAGGACGTCACGTACCACGGGTGGTCACCATATTGCAGTTCCAAAGCTGCGCTAACACGCTTCATCTCGTGCTTCGCACACGAAGAGTCAGGCATCAGCGTGCAGGGTGTGTACCCGAAACTCACGAATACGAAGATGCCGGAAAATGTGGTCAAGGGCAAGTATCGAGGCATCATGGCGGATCACGAGGTCGAGAGGTTCAAGACGTGGGGCAAGATGGGCGAGGAGATGATTGAGCCGCCGGAATGGTGTGGTGAGGCGGTTGCGAAGTTGGTGTTGGGCTTTGTTTGAGGGCGGGAAGAGTGGAGAGACGATGTTTTATGATGAACATGTTCCGAAGAAGATTAAGGGAACGTAATTATGAGCTTCTAGCTCTTCAATCCTGCCTCAAAATATAATGCGCGGCGTCGGGCGTACTTGATACCGTCAATCCATTCATAGCTCCATTGGCGAGCTCTCAGTCATCTCTACTCACGATCCTGGCAACACTTAAGCTGATGATATACTCTTCACCGAAATCAATCGGTACAGGTAGGCCCAAGCACGTTCCGCGAGAGACGCCTCTGGAAGAACAATTTCAACTGCACGAACACAAGCTCGCCCCCATCCTGTTTTCCAAGCATCCCGGACCAATTTTCCTCACTTTTTGATGAGAGACATAAATGACTACGAAGACTCAGGCCCGTGCCTTTGACTGTGCCGCAACAGCAAATGGTCGCATGAGTGGAGCCGCCAAGTGGTGCCTTGACAGCCACACTATTCCTCAACCTTAGTTTATATGGGGCTACAGCCCATTCTGCAGACATGAAGAATCTCCGCCATTTGCCTGTTCCACGCGTTCCAAAAGGTACTCATGCAAAGTTACCCATTGACTAAATTCAACTCACGAGCCGCCAATCTCAAAACAACTCAACCCACCAGCCCAAGTCCAGTAACCACTAAAACAGCATTCCCAACACCCCATGACAACTTCCACTGAAGAATGGCTCAGTCACCTCCACCGCCTCATAGACCGCGACAACTACATCTACGCCGACGATCTCCGTAACTGGGGCTTCACCATCTACCGCACATGCTACACGCCCTCATCCGACGAGAAATGGCCGCAACTCCTGGAAACAATCCAAACATGTGCACACAACGACGTCTTGTCCCAGACCCAGTCCAAAGAAGACGATGCGCAATTCAAAAAAGTTATGTCTCTCTTCCGCCTCGACGCCCGCTCCGAACCCTCTCTCTCCGCCCTGACTATCCCTCAGCTCCGCGAGCTATACAACACAACCTCCACCGATCCCCCGTTGAATTCAGACTTCCCCCTGCGTCGTGTCTTCCTCGTCGCCAGCGCAGAGACCTTCTGGGCCGACGAGCCCGACACCGTCATCACGTGCGTGGATGCAGACTACCGGACGGAAAACTACGTGAGTAGGGGTCGGTACACGCAGCAGTATTTTGGCTGGATGCCCATGCGTGCGCGGTGTGTGGCGGAGTTCTGGGAGGAGTTGCAGTGGCGGGAGATGGACCGGATTGCGCCGCAGACGATTGGGGGGAGACATTTGGTTGTTTGGGGAGGGGGGCAGCCGAGGTTTTGGGTGGATGGGGAGGAGGGGTGAGATTGGGAGTGGATGTAGGAAATGAAGAAAGGTAGACTTTGGCTGACTGGTTTGTTGCGATATTGTTCGTGTTGAGTAGCATATACTAAGGGGCAGCTTTTCTGCGCGCGAGTGAAAGCAGCGTAATGATGCTCCAGCCCTATTAGGCTGCATCTTCATGCTTCTTGTGGCTTCAAATAGCCTCTTGATAACGCCGCCCAATGCCTTCCAGGTCCCTATGCCAAAGCACCAAAATCCAAACTGATCGTCATAAAAGCCGAAGTAAACCCGATCAGTTCCCGTACGCCTACACATGCGCAAACCCCACCCAAAACCGATCCCAGAAAAAATAAAATAGCTTCCCCCCATCCATGAAATGCAGAAATTTTATTACATCATACATGTACCCAATACATAACGAACCACCAAATCTGGTGGAACGATGGAAGACCACGGAGCCAGTGGTTTTAGGACGCCGAGTCTAATGCGTTTTCTAAATGCTAAGAGAGAGAATTGGTATATAAACGAATGCTTGAAAGTGAAACGCCAGATTTAAAAAGGTTGTTAGTGTGCTTTTGTGTGGATTTATGTTTCCCGAACGCCGAAATCCAAAATCGAGGGAATGTACATGAGAAGGTCTACGGGGCCATGACCATCGCGAGCAAAGCCATGCGGGTGTACAATCCGTATTGCATCTGTAGCATGTTAGTAATGTTGCGTATATATTGTAGATTTGAGACTCACCTGTCTGAAGTATGCTGCCCTGGGGTCAAAGTCCACCTCCTCGTGAATCTCATTATTCCTTGGCAGAGGGTGCATGACGATCATATTCGTCTTTGCTCCCTTGAGAACCTTGTTGTCAATGACAAATGCGTCCTTGACCTTCTCGTAGCTTGCGGGGTCGGGGAAGCGCTCCTTCTGCACACGTGTGCAGTAGAGAACGTCCGACGAGGCGACGATGTCGGCGGTGAGCTCGTTGGAGATCTTGTTAAGCTGGCCGCGAGACTTGAGCCCATCCTTCACTCCTTCGGGCATGCCGAGCGAGTCAGGAGATACAAGGTTGACGGTGACGTCGTAATGGGAGAGCAACTCGCAGAGGGAGTGCACGGTGCGGCCGTACTTGAGATCACCAACGAAGGTGATGTTCAAGCCGTTGACGGTACCCAACTCCTCACGCATGGTAAAGATGTCGAGCAGAGCCTGTGTTGGGTGCTCGCGGCTACCATTACCAGCGTTGATGACTGGAACTCCCGAGAACTTGGCTGCAATGTCGATCGACTCCTCAGCCGGGTGACGGAGAACGATGGCATCACCGTAGCATGCAAGAGTGCGGATGGTATCGGCGATAGACTCGCCCTTCTGAGTGGAGGAGACCGACTCGTTGATGACGATGACCTCACCGCCAAGGCGCTTCATGGCAGCGTCAAAGGAAGCTGAAGTCCTGGTAGAGGGCTCGCAGAACACAGTGCACAAGACGCGACCCTTGAGGATGTCGAGGCATCCCTGCCTCTGTGCGCCGAGACGCATCTCCTGGGCAATGGTGAAGAGCAAGTGAAGGTCAGCACGGGAGAACTGCTTCACTGACGTAATGTGCTTCCTCTTGAACGGAGACTTCGCAAGAAGTTGCGTCAAGGACAGTGAGCCGTTGAGCCTGGCTAGCTCCATGTTGGATTGCTCATGCTCTCCAAGAGGCGGGAAGAACTCCTGGAAGTCAACTTTAGAGACCTCAAGATCGTAGTGGCGTGCAATGGCCTCGATCAAGAGCTTGGCGTTCTTGACGTTGGTGACAAGGGGTGTCTGGTAGTCGACCGCCATACGGCGAGTGCGGTATCCTCGAGACATGTAGTTGGCTGGTCGTCGGTAGCGGTTGCTCGATGGCAGGTTGATGTACAGGTCGATGAGATTGTTCGCCAAATGCTGAGTCAAGGAGTACTCTGCTTTCTGCTCGTCGTAGTCACCTTCTGGAAGTACCTCTAAGAACTTGACGGGAAGACCATGTTCCTGGAGGTAGTCTGCAGTACCAGCCGTGGCAAAAAGATTGTAGCCCATCTTGTGCAGACGCTCGATGGATGGCAGCATCTCCAGCTTATCCTTGAATGAACCGATGGAGAGAAGAATGTTCTTCTTAGGGAGCCTAAAGCCGGTGGCAATGAGGCCCTTGATGTAGGCCTCGTACTTTGTGCGTCCAAAGCAGGCTACCTCTCCAGTCGAAGCCATCTCCACACCAAGCACAGGATCTGCGCCAGATAGTCGGGAGAACGAGAACTGTGGTACCTTGACGCCGACATACTCGGGAGGGATGTTGACAGGAGGGTACGGCACAAGAGGCAGGCCGGCCATAGCTTTCGTAGCCATCTCGATGAGATCAACACCCATGACCTTCGAGACGAAGGGAGTGGAGCGGGAAGCGCGGACGTTGCATTCAATGACCTTGATCTCGTTGTCTTTGGCGATGAACTGGATATTGTATGGTCCAGTTATGTTAAGTGCTTGTCCGATCTTTCTCGTAGCGTCTTCGATCTGTCTGATGGTGTCTTCGTCCAAGTCCTGAGGTGGTAGGATGAGGGTAGCATCACCCGAGTGAACACCAGCATTCTCTACGTGCTCAGAGATGAAGTGGCCGATCATGGTACCGTTTCGGGCAACAGCATCCATCTCAATCTCCTTGGCGTTCTCAATGTACTTCGTGATGACTACGGGGTGGTCCTTGGAAACATCGGCTGCCTGGTTCAGGTAGTTCGCCAAATCGTGCTCCGAGTACACTGTGTTCATCGCAGCTCCAGAAAGCACGTACGATGGACGCACCAAGACTGGGTAGGAAACCTTGCTGCAGAACTCCCTGGCCTCGTCGATGCTTGTGAGCTCCTTCCAGGCAGGTTGGTCAACCGAGATGCGGTCCAGCATACGTGAGAATTTGTAGCGGTTCTCTGCAGTGTCAATCATCTCGGGTGATGTACCCAAGATCTTGACATTCATGCGGTGGAGTGGCAGGGCAATGTTGTTGGGAGACTGCCCGCCTACAGAGATGACAACACCGCCGGAGTTCTCCAGAGTGTAGATGTCCAGGATAGTCTCGAGCGAGATGTTCTCGAAATACAAGCGATCCGCTTCGTCATAGTCCGTTGAAACGGTCTCAGGATTGTACTAAAGATCAAAGGTCAGCAGATGCAAGTAGAGAATTGTTGGTGCAAAATCTGAGAGGGCTAAACAGTTGACCCAAAACTATAGCCTGGAGGTACACGAAGACCATTCAGACATAGCGCCGGCAAGGCCAACGGTCGTTTTCTCGCAAAGGCGTGCAAAGAGGATCACTCGGGGGACTTACGTTGACCATAACAGTTTTGAATCTGGTAAGAGTCAGTAGGTGTCTCGATAATAGGTAGTATGCTGGAATCGACGTACCCATTCTCACGAAGCGTGCGGATAGCACGAACGGAGCACCAGTCGAACTCCACGGACGAACCAATACGGTACACACCAGAGCCCAGAACCATGATACCATTGTCATCGAAGCTCACGTCGTGTTCCGTGCCGTTGTACGTGAGGTACAAGTAGTTGGTCATAGCAGGGAACTCGGCAGCCACAGTATCGATTTGTTTAACAACTGGGAAGATGCCGGCATCGATACGTACACGACGCACAGCCAGTTCGTTGGTGTCCCAGAACTTGGCAAGTTGGCGGTCAGAGAAACCAAGCTCCTTCGCTCGCTTCATCAACGGCAGGGTGATGCTTGCTGTGTTGTAGCTTGACATGTCCTTCTCGAAGTTGCTCAGGCCCTTGAGACGGCTAAGGAACCACTTGTCGATCTGGGTCATTTCCCAGATCTTGTCGACCGTGTAACCGCTCTTCATCGCATTGGCGATGGCAAACAGACGCTGGTCGGATGGTGTCTGAAGCTCCTGATCGATTCCCATCAACGCAGCAGTCTCGTTGAAACCGAGGTTGTTGGGGTCAACCTCTCGGATGGCCTTCTGGATCGCTTCCTCAAAGGTTCTGCCAATACTCATGACTTCACCGACACTCTTCATAGACGATCCAAGCAGTGTCGATACACGAGTGAACTTCTTCAAGTCCCATCTGGGGATCTTGACAACAACGTAGTCGAGCGATGGCTCGAAACAAGCGCAGGTCACCTTGGTGACCGAGTTGGAGATCTCGTTCAGCGGGATGTTGAGACCAAGCTTGGCAGCAACGAAGGCAAGAGGATAACCAGTGGCCTTGGAGGCCAAAGCCGAGGAACGTGACAGACGAGCGTTAACCTCGATGATGCAGTATTCGCGGGAGAATGGGTTCAGAGCGTATTGGATGTTGCATTCTCCGACCACACCAAGGTGGCGGATGACGTTGACGGCTGTGGTGCGTAGCATGTTGTAGTCTTCGTCGGAAAGAGTTTGCGATGGCGCGACAACAATGGAGTCTCCAGTATGAATACCGAGAGGGTCGAAGTTCTCCATGTTACATACGGTGATACAGTTGTCGCGAGAGTCACGAACAACTTCATATTCGATCTCTTTCCATCCCTTCATACTGCGCTCGATGAGCACTTGCGGGCTGGCAGCGAAAGCCTTGTTGCAAAGATCGAGCAGCTCTGCGTCGTTGTTGGCGAAACCACTTCCGAGCCCTCCAAGAGCGTATGCAGCTCGGACGATAACTGGGTAGCCAATGTCTTTGACACAGCGCATGGCTTCTTCGACGTTGTTGGCAGATGCCGACTTGGCACACTTCTCGCCGATGGACTCCATGCTGCGGGCAAATAGCTCGCGGTCCTCTGTAGTGATAATTGTGTCGATTGGGGTACCGAGCACCTTGACGCCAAGGCCTTCAAACTCGTCCTTGAGCTGGATACCAACTTGAAGAGCCGTCTGGCCACCGAATGTGACGTAGATGCCATCTGGTCGCTCTTTCTGGATGACCTTGCGTACAAAGTCGGCGTTTACGGGGAGGAAGTAGACCTTGTCGGCAAGACCCTTGGAGGTCTGGATTGTGGCGATATTGGGGTTGATCAGAATAGTGTAAATGCCTTCTTCCTTCAGAGCCTTGATGGCCTGGCTACCAGAGTAGTCAAACTCTCCAGCCTGGCCGATACTCAGACCTCCACTGCCAAGCACGAGGACTTTCTTCACATCCACTCGTGGTGCGGCCTTCTTGTTCTCCTCGAAGGTGCCGCCCGGGAACTCGACTGGCTTTGACATGATTTCGTTTGACTCCAAGTTCTTCTGGATGGTGCTGATGAAGACATCGAAGAGGTATTCGGTGTCGCGAGGCCCTGGAGTGTGCTCTGGGTGGAATTGGACACTGAAGTAGGGCCTGCTTACGTGGCGGATACCTTCGTTGCTGCCATCGTTGGCGTTGACGAAGAGCTCCTCCCAGCCATGGGGAAGTGTCTTTGAGTCCACTGCATAACCGTGATTCTGCGAGGTGATGTGACACTTTCCTGTGAGCAGACTGGTGCAAGGAATGTTTGCGCCACGGTTACCGAACTTCATCTTGAGTGTGTCGGCGCCAGCGGCTCTTGCAAGAAGTTGGTGACCCAAGCAAATACCGAATATGGGAGTCCTGGCCTCATCCATGGCAGCCTTGATGTGCTTGACTGTGCTCTCCATCATGGCGGGGTTACCAGGACCGTTCGAGATGAACAGTCCATCATACTCCTTGCCAGCGAGCTGAGGAAAATCGTAGTCCCATGGCACCTGCAGGACTTCGACACCTCTCCGGACCAAGCATCTCAGCTGGTTGTATTTGAGACCAACGTCGACTGTGACAACGCGTACTGGGCGGCCGGAGGGGTGTTTGAGGGCAGTGGATGGGTCTGGGGACCAGAGCTTAGGCTCTTCGATGGACACTATGTGACTGTCAGAAGAAGTCATACTGCGGGATGAACATGGAATTACCTTCAGCTACGAGGTTCTTGGCATTGGGGTCTGACCATTCGAGTTGCTCGAAGCTGGCTTTCCAGTCCTCGACTTCACCGTCAACCAGGGCCGCAGTGTCGACAGCACCGTTGGTGAGCGCAGTAGAGCTGGGGGCTGCTGAGGTTCTTTGGAGCAGTCTGCCGAGCATGCTACCTTCCTCTCGGATGCGCTTCGTCAGTGCTCGCGTATCCACACCAGTGATGGCGGGTACACCTTGCTCCTTCAGCCATGCGCCCAGCGAAGAGGTGGCCAAGTGGTGCGAGTATTCCTCTCCCGCGTAGGTCGCAACTACGAGACCTGCGATGTGGATCTCCTTGGACTCGAAGTGCGCCGGGACATCCTTCAGCAGGCTGTCCATCTCTTCTCGCGAGGGCACACCATAGTTGCCCACTAGAGGGAATGTGATGACCAGAATTTGGCCACGGTATGAAGGGTCTGTGACAGACTCGGGGTAGCCCACCATACCAGTTTGAAAGACCAACTCTCCAGCAATGCTCTTGTCAGCACCGAAGCTCTGTCCAAAGCAGACATGGCCATCTTGGAGCTCGAGAGCCATGTTCTGGCTTTCGTCTGCGCGAGGCGCCATAATGAGAGGTATGAGAGACAGCTCGAGGGCTAATGGACCCTTCAAAAGCGAGACTGCCAGACAATTGCGTGTGCAAAGAGAAGTTGGGGAGGAAAAAAGATTCAAAGTTTCTGTCGTCACAAAACTTTTGCTCAAGCTCGTTCCGGTTGGCGGGGTCTAATCGATAGCGCCCCACCATTCAGTGAACATTATTTCTGGTCCCTCCGGTATCATGCCGAGACCTGCACGCAACCAGCATCACTGGCTGCGAACGTGTATTACCAGTGTCGAGGTTTACCATTTCTCAGGTCTTCGCCACTCTTGGGGGCTCAGCGTAGTGGTGCTCTCACATGTCAACATGCCCAGCTTGTCACGCCAGCTGGTCAGACGCTGATGCAAGCTATTGACCCTTACCTCAGATGTTGGCCTTTTTTCTCGCTTGGACAAGATGCGGTGTGCGGGTCGCCAAAGCTGCGAATCACGATTGCTTTGGTTGCAGAAGATCGGCGACGCGTCCAACGGTACATGCAGGACGTCATTGCCAATCGATTGCTTCCAAAGACGCGTCGATACACGACTCGAGCGCGTTCTGTAGCACAGGAACCATTCTTGTGAGTTCGTGAAGGATGGGATGAGGTGCGTCTGGGCCAGCCGAACTCGGACGCTGAGACTGGACGTCACGTGAATCACGGTAGAAATGTCCGGTTCGGGGTGGACTGTCCGCGAGTGAAGATCGCATCGCAGAGTCGGACACGCAGATCGCGCTGCGACAAATACCTCAACAACGACATGGAGGTCAGAAGCCGTATACGGACTCTGGTATCTGGCTTCGGCCCATGACAAATGAGATGAAAGCATATCAGAGGGCTTTTCTTCCCGAACGCAGGGCGGCTACACCCTCGCAGACGCGGGGTGAAGGCAGATCGGGAGATCGGTTGCGAGATTTACCACTTCGTGCTAGGAGGACTTGGTGGTACGGACTGGGGGTCGTGGAGATGAGGGAAATTTCACATCGAGGCGCAGCTAGCTCAGATCTATAGTCTTGTGAGTTGAAGACTCTGTTCACTACACGCTGTAGAAGTCAATCGAGCTACGTCGAGCTATCTCGTCAAGAACGGGCCGACGCCAATCGCGTCTGCAAAGTCAGAACGGGAGCACGTCATGAGTATTTAAAGGTGAGGCTGCCTTGGTGTGGGGAGCGTCAACTAGCATGTGAAGGATGCAGCTCGCGTGTGCAGGCCAATCAAGTCCAGATGCGGTCCACGCTTTAGTCTCACACCCATCCTGGAGCTGCCCTGCGCGATAACGAATTCATCATCTGATCGCAAAAGAGCGGCCTGGTCGCACGAAGCGGTGTGAGGTCTAGCATGATGAAGGAAAGCGCCACATTCACGATCCTTTCTCTTGGGGGCCCGCCCTAGTCATGAAACCCCATGTTTAATTTCACTAACCTCTACTGATTCCCTCCACCTCCCGCAACCACGACGGACGGACAGCCTTCTTCTCAACTCCAAGGATAAGTCCCATGTTCGCCTCACTGCTGCGATCGAAGAAAAGCCACCCTTCGGAAACCACGCCTCTCCTTGCGGCCCTCAATCGGTACCGCAACCGCCAACATGGCGGCGACGAGGCTCAGGAGGACGACCCCGAGGATATAGCGCAGTATGAGGGCGAGGAAGAGGACGAAGAGGATGAAGACCGGCAGCGGGATGGGCCGCTGCTTCCCGTCTTCTCCTCAACTTTCCTGGGTATGTCCTTTCCTCCCAAGTATGCTTTGTTTACTCGGCTAACAAATGTCCTCAGATCGCATACCAATCTACAACACGACCCACGCCATCCGCATATTACTTGTCCAGCGATGCGAAACGACTCTTTCATGGGACCAATTGCGCTCCCCCCAGGTTTCGCAGTTCCTGGTCAAGCCCATCCAGCAGCAGATCCGCTCCGACCATTTCTCGCGCGGGACCCTATACTGCCTCCTTGCGAATTGCTTGCAGTTCAGGAAAGAGAGTGAGGAAAACCCCGGCAACATGGGAGTCAGCAAGACGCGAGCGCTTATATGCGAGCTACTGGCGATGAGGCTACTCAAGGAGTTCTCCACGCGAGAGTTGATCGATGCGCTCTCCTACGACTTCGACCCCTTACAAGGCCTACAGATGCCCACGGGTGGCGCCCAGATACCAGGTGGAATGAATTGGTCACGACAAGCGCCCCGCTCTGCACGCATATCGGCTCTGGAAATTGCCATTCGCGCCCAAGCGAAGAAGTTGCTCGCACACCCACTGGTGGTGCGCCAACTCGAGGCCATCTGGGCGGGGACCATTGTCTTCCACTCGGCTGCCGACAACCTGCATCGCAAGCCCGATAGTTCGCATCGCCGTAGCCCCCACAGTTCAGAGGACATCTCGCCTGGAAGAGGCCCGTCTCGCCGTACACCCCCGAGCAAGCAGGATGATCATCAAGCGCCAACTGCCGCGCTGCTGAGACGAACCGTGACCCTCTACGACCCCCATGAAGCCTCGCTTTTCAAACTATCGCGTTTACGTGTACCCCGATACCGCAACCTGTTCTCCACGCTATCCTTCGGTATCATGCTTGGATTATTTTTGGCGGTGCTTACGGAGAAGTCGGATGACATCACGGCGCTAGAAGTCCTGTTCTGGTTCTGGAGCGCCGGATACATGCTGGACGAGATTGTCGGTTTCTCTGAGCAAGGCTTCGGCCTCTACATTATGAGTGTTTGGAACGCTTTTGATCTGGGCATTCTCCTAATGTTCATGGCATATTACATCCTGCGCCTGTATGGCATTTTGATGCCCGATGTCGATCAACCCCGAGTCGCTGCTATGGCCTACGATGTTCTTGGCTCCACGGCCGTTCTGCTCTTTCCCCGCCTCTTCTCGGCTCTAGATCACTACCGATACTTCTCACAACTGCTCATCGCTTTCAAGATGATGGCTATGGATCTGGTTGCGATTCTTGTCCTGATCGTTATCAGCTGTAGCGGCTTCTTCGTCGCATTCAGTTTAGCCTTCAAGCGCGACCTGGGAGCTTCTGATGCTGCGTATGCCATTTTCCAGCTTGTCATGGGCTTCACGCCCGCAGCCTGGGATCTTTGGGGCGAGATGAATATCCTCGGGCGGGCTCTGCTTGCTTTGTTCCTCTTCATCTGTCACTTCTTGATTGTGACTATCCTGGTTACTGTGTTGACGAATTCGTTCATGGCAGTCGTCAAGAACGCAGACGAGGAGCATCAATTCCTCTTTGCAGTCAACACGATATCCATGGTCAAGTCAGACGCGCTCTTCTCCTACATTCCTCCGACGAACATCATTGGATGGCTACTTATTCCGCTCAAATTTCTGATGCCTTTCAAGAAGTTTCTGCGTATGAACCGGTCGGTGATCAAGCTTACTCATATCCCGATCCTGTTTACGATATTCGTCTACGAACGCCTGCTCCTGTCGCACCTCTCGTACGGTCCGACAGATTTGGTAGAACAGCGCGGTAGACAGGCGGACCCGGTCCCAGCGTTCAGTATCCGTGGCCCCGTGGATCTTTTCAGCCCTCGCTTGCGTGAGCCGTCAGTCACAACTTTCTACAAGGATCGGGCCCTTGAAGAAGTCTTTCGCCGGCCCTATCGTGATTCTAGCATCCAAGCACCGCAATATCCTCAGGGCAGAAGGAAGTCGAGTAACGTGGTATCTGATTGGATGAGGAAAATGGCAAATGACGATGAGCAACAACCTCCTCAAGAAGATACTCGTTCCGTGCTTGATAGGCTGGAGAGTCGTAAAAGCAGCAGGCCATATCTGAGGCGCTCAAACACGGCGGCACAGCCTAAGCGAAGGCACCCGCTCGCTTCGACGCGTACAATTATGTCGGATCCTGATGAGGCAGTAAATGCTTTCACACTACCGATCGCAGAAGAGGAAGAACCAAGTGAGGTTCCGCAGCAGACTGACGCGGACGGTGATGACGAAGACAATGATGCCGAGGATGATGGCGCAAGCTCAGCTCAGATAACACCGCGTATAGCTCAAGGCCCTGCTAAGGAAAATCAACGGCCCAAGACAGGATATCATTCTTCAGATGAGGAGGAGTTCTTCCGTACGCCCATGACTATGCTGCCTAGGTCCCAAGCACGCACTCCGGCCAGGACTGCATCGCGGAAGTCTTCCGTTGGACAGGCTGTGGTTCCCGGGGCAGCTCAGAGGAGTCAAAACACATCTGAATCGAGCTATCTGGGGGCACAAGGCTCTCCTAGCAAAAAGCTTGCGCGTAAGAAGCCTGCGCACAACCGTAACATCTCAACTAGTACAGTGCTTTTCAGTCCCACGAAGGATGCGATGCAACTGGCACGGTCAATGTCACCCGAGCGTCGCCCCAAGACCAGCACCCGCAGCGGAACCGCAACCCCTGGCCGTATGGACGGTTCAACTCTAGCTGGAGCCCGAACTCCGAAGCTGCCAGCGGCCATGGGTCCACCCTCTCGTCCTCGCGCCATCATTCCCCCTCGCGGATCTGGTCGTAACACGCCCAACATCGCCAACTTCCTATCCCTCGCCAACCGCAACCGCGAGCCCTCCTTCAACGCTGTAGCTCTTGACCTCGCCTCAGACATCGGCGACAACAACCTCAACCCCAACTTCGCCAACCTCAACGCCCTCCCTGCATCCTTCACCACGCAGTTCGAACTCGCTGCGCGCATGAAGGCGGCGCGTGGGCGCAAGAATAGCGATACTGAGTCTGACTCGAATCGCATGAGTCGTATTATGCTGGCGAGGATGACGACACTTGAAGAAGGATTCCGCGATATGTTGCAAGAGGTCAAGGGCCTGAAGCAGGGCGAGAGCCAAGTTGGAAGCCGTGGGACGCACACGCCGCCGGGTGAGGCGAGCAAGAAGAAGGGCAAGGGGAAGAAGAAGATTGGGGTGGCGAAGAAGGACTTTGCAGAGGATCGTATGGGATCGAGTTTATGAGATGACTGGGTAGGATGGGACTGGTACAGGTAGACTTGGTGGGCATGGGTGAAAACAACGGTGGTGTTTTGATAGTTTCTTGCATCGTTTACGGGCGTTGGATTTTGGACATGTATTTTGCTTGTTTAGCAGCATAGCATTTCCGCTAGCGTTTTGGCATTTTGTAGCATCATCTGTTTTTCTGCCTCAAGCATAGCATGGCCGTAATTTCTAGTACGAATGAAGGAAAAATATACTTCTAAAATACTTCAAAATGCTCGAAATTGAGTACGATCAAGGCGAGGCTACTCTCGTGGACGTACATGGCATTGAAGAGAATATTTTCATGATTGATCGAAGGTACGACGTGCAAGTGTTATTTTCAACATAAGCTACCTGTCTTACTGCAACAGGTCAATAACGTGTCTCCACCTACTCGTCTAGATAGGCAGCATATGAGATATCAACGCGGCGACATATAAGTCCTTTCTCGAAACTCCAAATTAATATCAATTCCAATCATCATCATAGCAAGGCAGACACAACCCGATCCCAGCACCATCCTACCCAAATCCCCTCTCCTTTCCTCCCACATCAAACATATCGCTCAAATTCACTGCCCTTCCACTCTCACTCAACTATCAGCCTCTCCCTCTCCTGTGCCCATGCAACATACTCACATATCACCAAATGCGCGCCGCCAATCGTCTGCGGCGCAATCTCCGGTAATTGGAACATGGTAAGTTCTTCACACAGCTCGTACTATAAACTCCACAGCCGCATCTTCATCCAGCCAAAATATCGGATCGGCTCGCGGCGCTTCACTGTCAGATCAGGGGCGTCAAAGTCGGATTGCACGTATTTTATGTGGGCGTCGTACTTTATGGGCTGGTTGAGTTCTCCTGAAAGGACTTCTTCGTCGGCGAGAAGGAAGATGCGGCGCCAGGCTTTGTGTTTGTTTGGTGGTTCACTGCCAGTGCTGGACATGTATATTTCGCGTACTTGGTGGATATCTAAGCCGTTGAGAAGATTGGGATCAGAGCGGAAGTCTAATTTCACGAGAGAGAGCAGTTTTTGCACGATTTCGGAAGATGAATCAGCGTTGGCAATGGCATCGTGGAATGTCTGGGAAAGTTCGCGCTTTAGGGCTTCCCATGCTTCGTCTGATTGGGGGGTGTAGCATGTGCGGTAGATGGTGTAGCCGAGGGGTTGAAGAAATGAATCTTCGGACTCGGAGAGAAGCAGGTCTCGATCTTTGGGGAGGTGGTAGAGGTCGCTGAGAACGCTCGAGGCGAGGCCACTCATGTTCAGGCTAGAAAGGGTGGTGTACTAGTCAGGTGAATGGTAGTTCTATGGTAGCCAATCAGAGACTTGGTGTTGCACCCCGCCAAATGCCCCACGCGAGTTCGACCAAAAGTTCCGAACTGCATTGCGACACCTGTCAAGACTACGGAATTATGTCTTTACTGGACGGGTTGGCGCAGCTGCCAGCTGGTACATCCCCTGTAGCCTTCGGTAGCTTCAGATACTGACGATGGCTTAGAGTTGCTACTCATATGGCACGACCATCGCGTTCCAATCCTCTTCTCGGCCATTGCTTTAGCAGCAATTGTGCGCCTCGCGATATATGCACGCGGTCGCCGCGACAAGGTCTCCGCCTCACCTTTGCCTGGAACGCCAATCGAGAAGAAGAAGATTGAGCTCAGGCCAGAATGGCTACCGGAAAATACGACGTTCAACGCCTCGGCGCTGAATGTGGACGGCCATGCAGAGGATGACACAGGCGCAGTCGCGACCGTCGCAAAGATCAAGAAGGGGCCGAAGACTGTTAAAGGCAAAAAGACACCTAAGAAGACAGGAGTCCCAGCGCCTAGCTTCAACCACACGACAGACAAAATCCAGCCTGTGGTCTTCTTCCAGTCACTATCTGGCACCACCGAACGCTACGCTAAAGAATTCGCAAAGGTCCTCACCGAATGGACAACAGGCTGCGACCAGGCTTCGTCTTTCCTCGAACTGCAACTGCATGACATCTCCTACATCGAATATGACGACTTCTTCATCAGCCCGCCGAAAGTCGACGCCAACGTCAAACAATTCTACATCATTCTTCTCCCAACTTACAACATCGATACCGTACTGGACAACTTCCTCGAAAATCTTCAAGAGACGCACAACGACTTCAGGATAGACACGGCACCGCTGCGCTCATTGCTGGGATACTCTGTTTTTGGCTTTGGAGACAAGGAAGGATGGCCGACAGAAGAGGAGGGCTTTTGCAGTCAGTCGAGGGAGGTGGACAAGTGGATGGCAAGGCTCACGGGAAGAAAGAGGGCTTACCCACTGGGTATGGGTGACACGAAGACGGACGCAGCCGACCGACTACAAGAGTGGCGACTGGGCGTTCAAGAAGCACTTGTCGAGATTGCAGAAGGTCGTGGTTTGGGAGAGGGCGTTGTTGGAAGCGGAGATCCAGCTGAGAGTGACGAGGAGGAGGACATAGAAGACGGTACTGGGCAAAGCACCCGAGTTGACGAGATCGAGGAATTGGGCTCCATGGTCGACTCTTCATCAACCCCCATCCCAGTGGACTTCACAACCTACAAGTCAAAGTCGAAGCCCCTCGTAAAGTCCTCCGCCGCGCCCAAAGAAATGGTCCCCACAACCTCCCCAACCCACGCCGCCCTCACAAAACAAGGGTACTCAATAATCGGTTCCCATTCCGGCGTCAAAATCTGCCGCTGGACAAAATCCGCCCTCCGAGGCCGCGGCTCATGCTACAAATACTCCTTCTACGGCATCGCCTCGCACCTCTGCATGGAAGCCACGCCTTCCCTCTCCTGCTCCAACAAATGCGTCTTCTGCTGGCGCCACGGCACCAACCCCGTCGGCACAACCTGGCGCTGGATCACCGACGCCCCGGACCTCATCTTCGACGGCATCACCGCCGCGCACTACAAGAAGATCAAAATGATGAAAGGCGTGCCCGGCGTGCGCGCCGAGCGCTTCGCGGAAGCTATGCGCATCAGACACTGCGCGCTGAGTCTCGTCGGCGAACCCATCTTCTACCCGCACATCAACGAATTGCTGGAAATCATGCACTCCAATCGTATATCCACCTTCCTCGTCTGCAACGCCCAGCACCCCGCGCAACTCGCCTCGCTCGTGCCCGTCACGCAGTTATACGTCTCCATCGACGCATCCAACAAGGAATCACTCCGCAAAATCGACCGCCCGCTGCACAGAGACTTCTGGGAGCGATTCTGCGCGTGCCTGGATATCTTACGCAACCGCCGCTTCGAGCAGCGCACTGTCTTCCGCCTCACGCTCGTCAAGGGCTTCAACATGGCCGAGGAAGTGCGCGGGTATGCGGACCTCGTGGAGCGCGCGCTGCCGGGCTTCGTGGAAGTCAAGGGCGTGACGTACTGCGGCACTTCAGCTGCAGGCGATGCGGGCTTGACGATGCAGAACGTACCGTTTTACGAGGAAGTCGCCGAGTTTGTGACGGAGCTGGAAAAAGAACTCAGCAGCCGCGGCCTCACGTATGGTATTGGCGCGGAGCATGCGCATAGTTGTTGTGTGTTGTTGGCGGATAGGACGCGCTTTATGCCGAATGGAAAGTGGGCGACGAGAATCGACTTTGAGCGCTTTTTCGATCTGTATGAGGGTAAGGTGGAGGGGACGAGGGTCGAGGATGGGAAGGTGGTGGGCTGGAGGCCCGAGGATTATGTGGGTGATGAGACGCCGGAGTGGGCGCTTTGGGGGAATGGCGGGTTTGATCCGAGGGACCAGAGGGTGTATAGGAAGGGCAAGGGGCCGAAGAATGATGAAGAGGGTGACGGTGGGAAAGTGATTGAGATCAAGGCGAAGAATGAGGCTTTAGAGTTTTAGACAACGAGGTGAAATTGGAATTAAAGTATGCTTTACATCATGGCATGATTTTCACAAGGCGTGATGCTAATGTGGCGGGATCATAAGCGCTGTATTTCATCTATGAGCATGATTGCGTTGAATCATCCACGGGCATGTACAACTTCATATTGACCTGAGCTCGTCCGTGGCATGTTGATTACTCCAGACTCTGCATCACCGGGCTGGGATCTACCCTTGTCGGTGACTCTTTGACATGACAATCACGCCGTTCAATGTCATTAAGGCATTGATTCTAGAGTCGGTAGTCTAGGCCAACAATGTTCCACGCAAGCCATGGCAGAGCACAAACGTATGACCATCTACAAGAAGTAGTCCGGAGTCCTGCGCGAGACCATGGGTTCTCCAGCTCGCGGGCATGGGTCGAACTGCAAGCTGTATGGATGTTAGTTTAGTGTGCAATCAATGCAGATGAATACTTACAAGGTGTACTTGAGGTGCTCATCGATCTCCATAATGGCAGCTTGGTTACCGCATCGGTAGCAGTAGTTGGGTGCTGTGGATATTAGTGGATGTAACAATCGTGGATGAACATGAAACTCACCTGAGAAGATGGTCACAACGTTCCTGTCTTGCGACCAGTTGTAGCCCTCCATAACCAGCTGGTGGGCTCTTGCAACAAGGGTAAGACCATTGTTATGGTTGAACGCCTCGGAAATATCCTGGCCGAATGTGTAACCCGCGCCACGAGGAGATATTCCCCAGCCGCAGCGGTCATCTGGGTCGGACCATAGCAAGTCACACATGGGTCCCTCATGCGGCACTTCTTGAATGCGATCGAGCGCCCTAATATTATCAAGCGTGTCGATGCTGGGCGACAGACCACCGTGTAAACAGAAGATCTGGTTGTCAATGAGGGCGGTAAGCGGGAGGTAGTCGAAGAGGTCGGTGAAGTACTTCCAGACGTTTGCGTTGCCGTACTTTCGGAGGCACTCGTCGTAGAAGCCGTAGACTTGGGTGATCTGGCGGGACTCGTGGTTGCCGCGAAGGATTGTGATGCGCCCGGGGTATCGAATCTTGAGCGCGACAAGGAGGGTGACGGTCTCGACGGAGAAGTATCCTCGGTCAACGTAGTCGCCTGTAGGGGTTAGTCGATGCTAGCGTGGGCAGAGATGGACTGCGCACCCATGAAGAGGTAGTTTGTGTCCGGGTTCGGTCCACCAATCTTGAATAGCTCCATCAGGTCGTGAAACTGTCCGTGTATGTCTCCGCAAACTGTGACGGGGCATTTCTGGGGAATTGTCAGTGGGCATGTGACGTCGGTTTGTTGTTGTACATACCACTGGCTGCACATTCGACTCCTCCTGCAATACTTCGCGAGCCTACAAACAATCTCGTCAGTATGTCATATGGGGGACAATGGATTGGAGAGCGCAGGCCACACACCTTCTCGCAAAGCCTCTGTACGTCACTCTCTGCCAACTGCTTGCAACCCATGAGGCTCTCGATCCAGCCGTCCAGGGTGGGAATGGTCGCGGGCTCAGTCGTAGGAATGGAAGACATCTGCATAGGCTCGGGCATCTTGACGTCCTCCATGTTGGTATCCATGGTTGCGGGGTGGTGACGGGTGGTGGGGTGGTCGCTTGTTGTGATGGACAGCGGTCGAGGGGTTCGTTCTCGCCCTCTAACTCAAACTTGGCGAATGACGTGCCAGTGTGCGAGCGAGCGAGGATTCGGGGGCTGGCAGTGAAAGGGGGGAAACAATGCAGTACACAGTGGGTATCTTGACGCTCGAGGGTATATCAGAGGCGGCGGCAGGGTTTAGCGCAAGAATGTATCGTGGAGGCCATCACGCCCACCCAATACGCCTTGGCGGCCAGCAGATTCGGAGAAAGGTAGGGCCGACTCTCACGTGATTTTTGTGTCGCTGGGGGGAAAGTGCATTGACCACCCGTTTGCGCCTACCCTGGTTCGCGTTCCCTTGGCAATCGCGCCCGGGTTGCGACTACCTTTTGTTCCATCGCAATTGCTTTCTCTCCAACACACCCCCACATTGGCAACTGCGTTTCCATGCGACAGTTTGCACAATGCCTCACACAACTCCCAACAAGAGACTCTTCGACTCTGCCTTCACCAGCAGTGCTCCTGGCATGCTAGTCAATGCCCACCGCGGCTTTGACGCTCACCTCCAGGTTGGTCGCATGCAGCTCTTTGGGCCGACTCGACTCAACTAACACGCGACTGCAGGCGCCTGCTAATGCCACACCTTTTACCCCGAGTGCGCTTCCTATTCCTGGCAGTTGGCCTCGAGAGGACCTTGCCGCAGACCTCGACGTCGCCGACCGCATTCATGCTGCCGCGCCTTCAGCTCTCTACACGATCGGCCGATGGGTTATCAGCGCAACGCTCGGCAATGCCTTGGCACTACCTGCGCGACTCTTTCGCCGCTTTGCGCGCAAGCAGCAGATTGTTGTTCAACCTGTCTTCCGCGAGGATGGCGCGTACAAGAAGCGCATCATCGATGCTGGTCCGGCAGATGAGCCCACCACTCCCACACGCGCTCCAGCACGCACAACATACATGAAGAAAGTCGGTCGTGGTCGTGGCCGCGCTCACGTCGTCACTGCGCCTTCTGCCTTCTCCTCAGGTTCGCCAGTCAAGGCACAGCCGCTCTCACAGCCAGACACACCAGAGACACCGCAGTCAGCGCCCGACACATCAGACATCTGGACGACCGGCCCGACACCTATACAGGCATCAGTCCAGGCTCCTGTTCAGGCTCCTGTACAGCGTCTTGCGCCTTTCAGGACGTTTGCGCCTTCTCAGCCAGAGGCACCGCGGCCAGCACCTGAGACACCAGACATCTGGATGACTGCCCCGACACCAGTAAAGGTCCCCGTACAGCGTCTTTGCGACTTGGCACCCAAGAATCCGCCCGGCTGGCCAGTGCCTACCCCCAGCCCGCCCAAGTCCGCCGGTAGCCCCTTCAGCACACGACACCACCATGGATTGCTGCTTTCAAGCTTTT